ATATTTCAAAAACATTAATGTATGATTTTCATTATAACTATATGATTAAAAAGTTTAGTAAAATCAAATTATTGTATACAGATACGGTATAGTTAGTTTAATATATCATATATTTACAAATGATTTTTACACTGATATAAAACCTGACCTTTCATCATACTTTGATACCTCAGATTATGATACAAATAATATTTTTGAATATCCAAAATTAAATAAAAAGAAATTAGGTTTTTTGAAAGATGAAAATAATGGTAAAATCATGAAAGAATTTGTGGGTTTACGATCCAAAATGTACGCTTTTAACTTAGAGAATAAGACTATAGCCAAGGCAAAAGGAGTAAATAAATGTATCACTAAAAAGATGACAATGAATAGTTATAAGTCTTCTCTATTTAATAAAAAAGTGCAATATTATAGTATGCTTAGATTTAAATCAATTAAACACACAATTTTCACACAAAAATTAAATAAGATATGTTTATCATATAATGACACAAAGAGACATATTTTAGATAATAATATTGAAACATTAGCTTGGGGTCATTATAAACTGCGTTAAGTGTTGATAGTTTTTACTTTTATGTCTGCGTTTAAGAAAAATTTATATTGATTGTAAAATTATGATAATACTATAATATGTCGTAGTTTATTACATATTAAATCATTGTTTTATTGTAAATAATTTAAGTTAATTGTTGTTTCTATTTATTTGAGGTTGAGTTAATTGTAAAATTATGATGTACTAATTGTTGTTTCTATTTATTTGAGGTTGAGTTAACTGTAAAATTATGATGTACTAATTGTGTTAGAAATAGTATATAGATAATTCTGTTTTATATAATTTTTGGAATATATATTAATTGTTTACACCAACACTTTCATTTTTTATTTCACCCCTTTGAACTTTAGACGTGTGTTATGTTTCACTTTATCCATCCGTTCACTGCTATTGTGGCAGGACCAAGTGGGTGTGGGAAGTCAAATTTTGTAACAAATTTCATAAAATCAGTTACAGAAATATGTAATTGTGATTTTAATCAGATCACATGGTGCTTTGATGAAATGCAACCATTATATAATTTACCAAATGTTAACTATCATCAAGGAATTCCAAATCTTAATATGTTTGATGGTGAAAATAATCTTGTTATTATTGATGATCTAATGAGAGAGTCCGATGGAAGAATTGTGGATATATTTACAAAAGGTAGTCATCACAGGAATCTTAGTGTATTTTATCTAACACAAAATTTATTTCATCAGGGTAAAGGACAAAGAGACATATCTTTAAACTCAAGTTATATAATATATTTTAAAAACCCTCGAGATAAAACTCAAATAAGATATTTAGCAAGACAAGTATCACCAGATAACCCAAAATTCATTGAAAATGCCTACAGGGATGCAACTCTAGAGGCGCATGGATATTTAATGGTAGATTTAAAACAGAATACCAATGATTTTTGTCGTATCAAGACAAATGTCTTTCCATTTAATGGTTTCCGTACAGTATACGTCCCCACAAAAGAGTTTAAATACACCAAGAATCAAACAATTGAAATCATTGCTAAATGATGCATCGTCGACTCACAACGTATAAACATTTGCTAACCGCTTTGCATACGCTTAAACCAAAATATCAAAGAGCATTATTTAAAACGTGTGATGAAGACGAAATTAACTGTATTTGTGAGTGTATTCATAACGTTTTACAAGGAAAAGTACCTCTTAAAGATCAGGATAAACAAAAATTGAATAAACATAAAAACATACTCCGTAAACTAGTACGTAAGTGTAAACATAAACTAAGAAAAAATATAATTATACAAAAAGGAGGGGCTTTCTTACCAACAATATTAGGTGCAATATTGAGTGGATTAGTGAGTGGACTAGCCAGTTAACATGAAAAATGCAAAGAAAATGATACTTATCGAACCTGGATTGATTGAAAAATTAAAACAAGAAAATAAGGTTAATAGTAATTTATCTCGATTAGATATTGAAATGCAAAATATTATGAATAGTAAGACGGAAGACCGAAAGAAATGGATATTATTTTTACAAACACTGCAAAGATACCTTCATTTTACCGAAGAGGATCGTCAACCACTCAAATTACCAATTTATTCTGATACATCTAATGAAGATTCAAATGAGTCAAAAATTGGTTTTAAAAATAAAGATAGAGATCTAAAAACTTCAGTTGATATTGAATCTTTGCTGGAGGAGAATCGATCCATTAAAAGTAAAGAAAATGATGAAAATCCACTTTACACACCAGCTCAAATACTCAGTTTAATACCAAAAACTTATCATAAAAAAGGGCAGTTATTATTAAACTTAGTTGAAACAAGTAAAAGTAAAATACATTGGGATAATGAAGGTACAGTCATAATTGATAGTGAAAAAATTCCTGGAAGTAATATTGTTGATTTAATAAATGATTCACTAAGACCCCTAAAAAGAAGTGATCCGGTAGGGTGGGTTAGATTTGCTGAAGCATTAAAAGATATTAAAGTACCACTTACTTATATTGGAAATCCAAGGAGATGTGAGTTTATTAACCAACTTCAAGCAAAAGATCTGAACAAACCCTCTGAGATTGAAGTTCAAGAGTTTTCTACACCGGTCAGTAGAGATAAAAAGTCTACAACTAAAATACGTAAAGGACTTGAGTGGGAAAAATGGACCCCGTACTAGAAGAAATTAACAGGATTTATTATGATCCATCTAATCCCGCTGGTTTTGGTAGTATTGATAAATTATCAAAAGCCATAAAGGGTAAAATGAATAAAAAGCAAGTAAAGGAATGGTTAAAATCACAAGAAACATACACATTACATAAACCCATTCGAAAAAAATTCCCGCGTAATAGGTACATTCTATCAAATATTAATGAACTGTGGCAAGCTGATTTAAGTGATATGCGAACTTATTCTCAATATAATGATGGTTTCAAGTATATACTTTGTATTATTGATATATTTAGTAAATATGCTTTTGCAAGACCAATGAAAAAGAAAAACTCAGAAACAACTAAAGAATGTTTTGAAAGTATATTTACTGAAAGTACTTTAACACCTACTCACATACAATCCGATAAAGCTACAGAATTTGTTTCAAAAGATGTACAAAAATACTTTAAATCCAAAAAGATTAATTACTATACCACTAACAATCCTGACATTAAGGCTAGTATTGTTGAACGATTTCAAAGAACACTAAAAATGAAAATGTGGCGTTATTTCACTCATAATAATACTTATAGATATATAGATGTTTTACAAGATTTAATATACTCTTATAATCACAGCTTTCACTCTAGTATTAAGATGTGCCCATGTGATGTAAATTCCAACAATATTATGACAGTTTGGACTAATCTTTATGATAGACGGTCAAAAAAACTTTCTTTAGAAAATCCTAAACCAAATTTCAATGTGGGTGATTATGTTCGAATAACTAAATATAAACATGTATTCCAAAAAGGATATGAATCAAATTGGAGTGATGAAATATTTATTATATCTTCAATAATTGATAGATCTCCATGGGTTGTTTATACAATAACAGATTTACAAAATGAACCAATAATTGGTACTTTTTATGAAAGAGAATTACAGAAAATCACTTACAACCCCACCTCACAACATAAAATAGATAAAATAATTGACACTCGTTATTCAGGTAACAGAAAAGAAGTATTAGTGAAGTGGAAAGGTTATCCAGATAAATTTAACAGTTGGATTTTAGCTTCTAGTTTAAAAGAAATATGAATAAAGAAAGTTTCTATTTAACTTTGCTCAGCAATAGTTCAATGGAATACTTTCCTGATAACAAGACCACAAATTTTTCAACGAAATTACCAAAAGCTATAAAATTAGAAGGTGAATGGTCGGTTGGAGTTGTCGAGTTTCAATATCCATGTACCATGTTTACTGTTCAAGACCATGAAAATGTTATCTACATTACAAAATCTATGTTAATGCCTAATGAAGATAAACCATCCACAGTGTACTACAAAAAACATATTCCAGCTACCAACTATGATAACGTTGAGCATATTTTAAGAGTGTTAAATGGTATTGGAGAGAACTTGAAATTTCGCTATGATGAAATAACAAAATTTGTGTCTATTTCGGTATTGGATAAAAATATAACATCCGTAACATTATCACCCAAATTAAGTTTACAGCTAGGTTATGAACCAAATAAAAATCTCCTAGAGAGAAATTTTGGAAAGTGTCCTGCTAATTTACACTTAGGGTTACCATCTCAACTATTTCTATATTGCGACATTATCGATCCTCAGATTGTGGGTGATGTTATGACTCCTTTATTAAGAGTCATTTCATTAGATCCTACAAAATACATTTATGGTGCAAATAAAATGCACGTTTTCTCTCAACCTCACTACTTACCTGTTATGCGAAAAGAGTTCGATACGTTGGAAATAGTTATAAGATCGAGTACAGGACAAAAAATACCATTCCAGTTTGGAACCGTGTGTATTAAACTACATTTCCGAAAATTATAATAATGAATTCTCTTCGTGATCATCATAAATGTCCATATGAAAATTATTATACACATCAAGCTGGATCAGGAGTTGGAGTAATTTATAAGGGTTCACCATATCAACGCGGTCATGGTATTGGGAGCTTCTTAGGGGGGTTATTCAGATCAGTTTTACCTTTACTTTCAAGTGGTGCTCGAGTGATAGGTAAGGAGGCATTAAGCGCTGGAGTAGGACTTTTATCGGATATGTTTCAAGCCCGTCCTATGGAAGCCTCAATAAAAGATCGTCTAAAGCAAGTTAGTACGAATTTAAAACGAAAGGCTGATGAGAAAATTGATCAATTTAACATGACTGGATCTGGGTATAAAACTAAAAGAAAACGATTGACATCGTTCATTCCACCATTAACTGCTAAAGTGAAAGCTGCGAAAAAACTTTGTCTAAAACCAAAAAATATCAAAGATATATTTTCAAACTAAATATGTCTTTCCTTCATAATCATTCTTGTGAGTGCGTTAAGTCAGAATTGGATTTGTTTGCACTACCGTCTACACAAACTAGCATTGAAAATGGATTGTGGATTCATTATAAACCAATTTCATCTCTTGGTGATGATGGACCTATCGAGTTTCAAGTTCCTGGGACCGGCGATGACTACATAGATTTGTCTCATACATTACTCCACATAAAGGCAAAAGTATTAAATCAAGATTCAACTAACTTGGTATCTACTACAATAGTAGCACCTGTAAATAATTGGCTGCATTCACTTTTTAGTCAACTTGATGTTTATTTAAACCAAAAACTTGTATCACCACCTAATAATACCTATGCATATCGAGCATACATGGAAACCCTTTTAAACTATGCCCCTGCTGCTAAACAATCTCATCTTACTTGTAGTCTTTGGTATGAGGATACAGCAGGAAAAATGGATTCTACAGATGGTAAAAACATAGGATTTGTTAAAAGACAGGAATTGATTAGTGAAAGTAAGGAAATAGAAATGATTGGTCATCTTCACGGTGACATTTTTAACCAAGATAAATTTTTAATTAATGGTGTTGAAATGAGTGTTAAATTGGTTCGATCAAGAGAGAGTTTTAATTTAATTGTTGGGTCAAACGATGTAAAGTTTAAAGTTTGCATTAAGGACGCAACTCTTATTGTTCGACGAGCACGAATTAATCCAAGTGTATTACTCGCACATCAAAAAGTTTTAGCTTCTACCACTGCTAAATATCCTATTACTCGAGCTGAAGTAAAAGTTTTAACAATTCCTTCGGGTGTTCAAGGAAAAACTCTTGATAATATATTTTTAGGACAGGTACCGAAAAGATGTATAATTGGATTTGTGAACAATTCTGCATTTAATGGTTCCCTTACTAAAAATCCATTTAACTTTGAAAACTATGGTATTAATTCTTTCAGCTTATATATTGATGGTCAACAAATACCTTCAAAAGCTTTGCAACCATCTTTTAATAATAGCATATTTACATCAGCATATCATACTCTATTCTCGGGAACTGGTATTCACTTTCTTAATGAAGGAAATGGAATCTCTTGTGAACAGTATGGCAAAGGTTACTGTCTATTAGCATTTGACTTAACTCCTGATTTATCAGCTAACTCATCAACTCATTGGAATCTCATAAAGCATGGTAGTGTAAGAGTAGAAGTACGATTTGAATCCTCATTAATACAAACAATTAACTGTATAGTTTATGCTGAGTTTGATAATATTATTGAGGTAGATAAAAACAGAAATGTTACTGTAGACTATAGTAGTTAAGGTTATAATATGTGTTGTGTGTTAGATTTTATGTGTTATGTGTAATGCATTTTGTGTGTATGTAACTATGTGAAACGTTATAAAATTAAATAAAACAAATTGTATGCAATATATTTTTTTTTATTTCTTTATAAATCTTCTATTTAATCTAATACAAAACACAGTTCGAGTTGAAATTTTACATAAGCACACTGACTAAACCACTGAACATGCTGCTGCCAAGGATCATCATCATCTTCCCAATCTTTTAAACCACCACCACAATGGAAACACTTAGTCCCGTCTGCATGGCCAGTATAAAAGAAACCAGCTTCTGCAAGATCTTCAGGTTTCTGTCGCATAACGAGAGGCCAGTATTCGAAACTAAGCAAACGGCTAGATTTTGAACTGAAGAATGGATATTCAGCTCTTGAGTACTGCATACTCTTCTCGTTTTCTTCTCCAATCAGTGTTCTAGTTTTGTTATTCAATGATGTGTTTTGTACACGTATGCCACACTCATCTCTTCCTTCCGCTCTTGTCTTCCTGTAATTGAAGTAAACAGAATCACATTCACTAATGATCAGCTAATGACTGTCATTGTTAAAAAAGTATTTTTTAACTTTTTCACTTTCTGCTATTGTCTTTGTTATATTGTATACGAGGGCGTTTGTGTTGTCGTAGATGCTATCCTTATTAGTCTTTACGTAATATTTAATTCTCGTGGAAGCATGTTTCCAAGGATCAGTAGTTGGAATCTTGGAAAGCTTCTTCATATCGTACATTTCAATTTTGATGAGATGCGTCGCTTGGTCTCCGTCGTCAGAATAAGTAGAAATGTATGATACACCATCTCTAGCGGCTCGTGCTACGGTTGATGATAACAGCTTCCTCTTTTTTATTTTTGATTCAGCTTCAAAAAAATGATCAATCGATTGCGATTTTCTTTTTCCACATGCATGTGTTATTATTAATGACGAGGTTATCACTCTCTTCTTGAGGGGAGAGTGGCGAGTAGTAATACTGTTTATAGGTATCTTCATCGAAGCTCAATGATTTCTGCAACAACACAGTTATCATGTTAATATCAATTTGTTAACACTTAATCATAAAAGTTAAAAAAGTTAAAGTTACAGCCTATTAAAGTCCACTGCTGAACATAGGCCTCCTCTCATTTCTGAGAGGGTTTTAGAGCAAGGAAATGTCCGCCGCGCTCCCTCAATGTGCGTTGGCGAACTTCACATGCCTTCGAAATTTTCTCAGACATGCAGGTTTCCTCACGATGTTTTCCTTCACCACCAAGCACGTGGTAATAAGCACTTAAAATTGCGATTAACAATTTAATTGGTGCTGGCGGGGATCGAACCCGGGTCGCGTACTGTGAAATTTACAGCTAGCGCTAACCATCTGAGTTACCACGGCTTAATCATATACATACACAATATTTAAATAAAATAATACACACACATGAAAATAACAGAAAAAAAGTAATTTAGTCAATAGAATAAACACTTACATCCATAGCCTTTGGTGTATTGAAGTAACACAAATGTACTATTGATAGATCCACTGTAGTCAAACGACCGTACACTAACTCGATGACTGCGTCTGTTGGTCTTATATACCACCAGTACGTAAAAATTCTAATCTAAAGTATTTCCGTAATGAGTTGATAATTACTTTATGCGTCAACCAGTTTATCTCACATTTCCGTTGTCTATCTCAACATTTCTTCGTATTGTGTTTTGTTTGGTGATCAATGACTCAAGTACGATTTGTATAACACAAAAATGCAATTTAATATTTAGAAACATATCAGTTTATCTCACATTTCCGTTGCCTATCTCAACATTTCTTCGTATTGTGTTTTGTTTGGTGATCAATGACTCAAGTACGATTTGTATAACACAAAAATGCAATTTAATATTTAGAAATCACTATAATTGACCATTCCTATGTTATTCATTGAGTTGATTGGTACTGTAATAATCTACTAATAGCAGTAATATCATGGATACACTAGATGTACAACAACATCTGAAAAAGATTCACCCCAGTCTAGAAAATAATGTTTATGCAGCTAATAGACTGCCTATGTATACCCACGTACCAACGTATATAATATGCAATTTGGATACAGATGATAAACCAGGGTCACATTGGGTAGCTTTATATATCGATACGAATGACGTCGGTCAATATTTTGATTCATATGGACGATCACTTGTACGATATCATCTAGAGTTTTTAAAAAGGAATTGTAAAAGATGGAACTGGAATGTTGATAGGATTCAGAATGAGTGGACTTCAGTTTGTGGCGAATATTGCTTAATGTATTTGCTATATAAGTTTCAAGGATGTTCAATACATAGTTTTACGAGTATATTTACAAGGAACACATTTTACAACGATATTTTAGTGGATGAGATGTTTCGCTCCTATTTTATAGATAATAAATAATAAGATTTTGTATTTTATAAATAAAAATTGTAACAAAATTATGTAATGTGTTTTATTGATGATTCAGATTAGCGTTGTATAATTAGGAACAAAGAAGTACAATACAATAGCACTGATATAGTCGACGCACACGCTGCAATGAAGGTGATTAATGAACAATAGAACAATAGAAATAGGAACAATGGGACGCTAATGACGGTGGAGGCCCTTACCGGATATCAATTAGATATTAGCTAATTGATCTACACATCTCCGTTTTTTTTTTAGGATCGGGTGTCGACGAACGTCGTTGAACCACGTCTGACTCAGGTGGTCTAGAAGTGGTACAACTACACTACTTTTACGTGAGACGTTAAATAACGAGCAGCCGATAACGCGGAGCAGGTTCAAAGGTGCGATATGTCTAGTATTACGATCGTCACTTGCCAACGCGAAGAGTAATGCTCTATAACGGGAGAGGTCCATGCTAAATAAAATCATCTCCATTCATTTCTTGAAGCAAACGTTTACTTTGTCTCGTGTATTATTGTTTAGTAACAAGAAACTTCTCTATTTGTAAAATGGAGTAAAAATAAAAAGGTACAATAATGATCATTTGATTTCCTCTAAGAGCCCTTTCATATAAAACGGAATAGCCGTTTTCTTGGCATACAATGCAATGCTATTGTGGAAAGATAAAACCTAATAGCACGATAACGGCCCCGTCAATGATATTCTGAAACAACTACGTTTACTATTTGCACGCATTTGTATTTGAGTGTAACTAACTTACAATACTGGTAAGTAAACTTACAATGTAGGCAAATACAATTACAATATACTCAACATCGTCATATATATAGTGGCGATGTGCAGCACCCCCTCACCGATGGGACAGAAATCCTAAACTACCGGAGAGATATCAGATGCAGGACTAACTGTTAAAAGTGATTTCCGAGGCACGAGGATGAAACACCGTCTACTTCCTGACTCCGGACTGCTTGGCCATTTTGGCCCTAATTAGGAGTAGGAAGCAGAACCACAATTTCAGCAGTCGTGCTTATGGCCATAAGACAAACAGAAAGTCGATGGACGGTAGGTGCTGAATGTTTTTCCTTGTGCAATTTATGTATGTAAACTGCCTCCACGATATAGAAGAAAATTTTAGTCTGAGTAAACGTTATTAAAATAAAAACAAAGTAAGTAAACTTCCATTTTATAATAATATTAAGATATTATCTAAAACTTGAGTGTTTTTGTTAACTATAAAGGTAACAAAGGCATTGCACGTGCCTGATATATTATTCCAGTAAAACGTAGCGAAGATAGTACCACTATTAAATTTATATAGTTTCATTCTCTAAGTGATAAGTATCGCAATAAACAGAACGCTATTGCTAAGTTATGTGGGTTGGTTGAATACTTAGGTAAGATTGCTAAAGTAAGAATACGAAAGTTCTGTTTCATGATCGAACGTTATTTTATTGCTATAAGCTGAGAGGGAACAATAATTGTAGTTTTATAACGTTGATTCAAAATCACATGTTTTATGGTTCGCATAGAGTAATATATAGATTATTTAATGCAATATATAATGTACTTTAAGCAATAGGTTTTAGAATTGAGAGTGAAACGGCGATCTGGGTGTAAATCATGATATTCAAGAAAATTACGATAATGATGTTGATGACGATGAGAGAGCTACGTAATAATAAAATAAGATTGTTATACTGTTACTATATTAATACTTGGTTGACTCATACTGCATTTATATAGTTTTATCACGAATGGGTCGGCTCGACCGGGGAAGGACCACGCTCTCACAGAATACCAACGTGAAATGCTGCTTGATGTTGCTGTGTTTCATATGGTGAGTTTAGAGAATATAATGATAGAAGAGCTGCGGTTGCCAACCCGCCTGCCATGCGTGGCAACATCCTATTAAGCAATCTTAATGGGAATAGCAATGTCCAGCAGTATACTTGTGATGGCCTGTTTAGAATGAATTAATGAACGTGGGTTCATCATCATCATCATTACAGCCTTTCACTAAATGTCACAAACCACGGTCTTCGACTTCAGGTAGTCACTCCATGGAGGGTAGGGAGTGATAAGGGTGACAAACGAGCACACAGTCCACCTGATGGTAAGTGGTTGCTGCGGCCCATAGACATCTACATCTATCCTCTGTTACAAATCAAAATGTAGATGCGTTGTCACCCGTGAGGACTAAGATGGAATGCCTCATTTCCAGTAAAAAGGGCCTCCGACCACCAGCACTCACCAAGCGAAACGCAGACGTAAACCTCTACTTCACGCTGGTTTTCTGTGAGGTCGTGGTACTACCCCGGTTCGAGCCGGCCCATCCGTGCGACAGCAAAAGCTGCCGCGTGGCTCTACCACTGATGTTCATTACAGCCTTTCACTAAATGTCACAAACCACGGTCTTCGACTTCAGGTAGTCACTCCATGGAGGGCTGCCCTGCACTTTGCTTACTGGTACAAGACGACCACTTGAGAACCTTTTATTCCCGTATGTAGGAATGATCCTATAAATGAATCCTAAATCCTATGAATATAAA